GAGGGTTGTGTGATACTCATTAATGCACCCACACTCTACTCATTTGGATCTAAATCCCACAGCATCTCCAGGAGACACACACACTTGGGAGTGCTTACTTGCATACTTAAAAGGCTTTCATATATGCACATGAGTGCTTTCTCACACACATACAAACACACACACACACACACACACACACACATGTTGGGCTTGGATTCTAGCTCGAAAACAAAGTGTTGAATTTAGCATTCGCTGTAGAATTTTTCTTATTTCCAACATGAATTTTAAAACGACTACTTGGAAGAGAATACAAAATACTGTCAGGGATGTTGCGTGGGGTAAAAGGCAGGACTCAAATGCAGATATTGAGGGAAACAAAAAGGACTTTAATAGTCAAAAAGCAAAAGGCCAACGGGCCAACACACACACAGGAACTGGGGACAAAAAGGCAAGCAGGAACGAGAGGCAGGTAGGACGATTGACAATGATGCGACAAGTGACAACAGACACACACTGCTTAAATACACTAGGGAGGTGCAGGTGATTGGACACAGGTGGAAACAATCATGACATGACAGACAATCACAGAGGAGGATAGGACAAGGCAGGAAGTGACATGACCCAGGGAGAACAGAGGCAAGAAACTACAAAATAAAACCAGACATTTGCCCAAACCGTGACAGAACTCCCCCCTCAAGGGCCAAATTCCAGATGGCCCTAACCTGACCAGGAACAGACAAGGGGCGGGAGGGAGGGAAACCAGACGATGGTAGGCCGCCCGTGGAACTCTGGCGGGCGGCCCGGCGGGCAGTCAAACGGCCGGGGAGCCTCTGGGGGTCAGCCCAGCGGACAGGCAAACGGCCGGGGAGCCTCTGGGGGTCGGGGACACGGAACACTTCCGCAGTAGTCGGGGCGGCTCGGGGACATGGAACAGCACCGCAGTAGTCGGCGGCTCGGGGACATAGAACACCTCCGCAGTAGTCGGCGGCTCGGGGACATGGAACACCTCCGCAGTCGGCGGCGGCTCGGGGACACGGAACACCTCCGCAGTAGTCGGCGGGGGCTCGGGGACACGGAACATCTCCGGAGCGGTCGTTGGCGATGGCTGGGGAACACGGAACACCTCCGGAGTCTCCGGCTCAGCCCCCCTCAAGGGCGGATCCCAGACGGCCCCCAAGCCACCAAAGGGAGGGTGGGAGAGGACCACGGGAAGGGAGGGAGGGAGCCTGAGTCTGGGAGCAAGTCTCGGGGCCGGTACAGACCGAGTCAGGGCCATGAGTCTCGGGGCCGGTACCGGAGTCGGGGGCATGGATCGTGGCGCTGGCTCGGGGCATGGATCGTGGCGCTGGCTCGGGGGTCGTGGACCTGGATCGGGGCGTCGGGTCAGGGGTCGTGGGCTTGGGTCGGGACGGGAAGCTGCTGCGGCCCAGCGCTGGACGTTGTGCCCTGCGACCCAGCAAGGTCGGGACGTCGCTGCTGCCCAGCGCTGGACATTGTGCGCTGCGGCCGAGCGTGGAGAGCGTAGGTTGCCTGGAGCCGGACCGTAAGGTCCATCACCCGCTCCCAGTGAGTATCGCCGCCGGACGACCACGAAATGGCCTCCTCCTCTGGAGACGTGGTGGGTGGCGGATGGTGAGAGCGGCGACTGTTAGGGATTTAAGCCAGAAGTGCACCCCTAGTCATAGAATTTGTAGTGCGTGTAATGATGTTTAGTGATAGAATTGTAGTTTGTGTGATGTTAGATTAGTTATTACATTAACATGTTAGATGAAGTGAATGCAATTTCAATCAAACACAATTCATAGTCATTTAAATCATATAAACACTGTACACATTTACATTCTGTCACAATGTGATGTTAAAACCTGGGGACGGATGCCAATTGCCGTTCTTTATGGATTTCTCCCAATTTTATCCCCAAAAAGGGTTTTTTGGGAGTTTTTTCTCCTGTCAGGTAATAAAATGAACAACTTAATGTAAGGCAGCCGACTGAGGCAAATGTCTTGAAAATTGAACCACACGAACTGTTTTAGATCTTATGATGAAGTGTGATGAGCGGTGATCATTAATGATGGGTTGTTGTAATTAAAGTGTACTAGTTATAAGATGAAGACTTAAACGATGTATGCTTTGTTAAATTCACTCATTGAGGCATAAAGCCAACTGTATCTACATTGAGTGCATTGGAATGTGAGGGACAGCTAGTACAGTGAGGTTTCAGGTTACAGCTGCAGCATCACACCTCGACGTGAAGGGGACAATGGAGGAGGTGACCCTTTGGAGAAGAGGCCAATGACATTCAAATGCACCAAAGAAGACACACCTCAAGAGTTTTCAAAGGACCATGGCGGGGAAAAGACTGTTAGAACTTCTCCTGCAGCCGCGTTGATAAGTCACTTCAGACTTGCTCAGAGGATTCTCTATTTCGCGAAATATTCCACTGTTCGCTTAGTATTTCACTTTGTAATTGTAATCCCTATTACGTTGTTCAGTTATTAAATAACTTTTGATTTCTGAATTTAAACGAATTGACTCATTCGTGTCCTCGTTTCCGGCCGGGACGAGAACAAAGGATTGAGTCCTCCCTCGAGAGCTTCCGAAACCTTAACAGTTGGCGCCCAACGTGGGGCTCTCGTTGGGGGAAGGCGTTGCTGAGAGGTTTGACTGCAAGTACCACGGGTACAAACAAGGTAAAACAAACTTTTTCATGAATTCTGTGATAGGTAGGTTTAGGAAGATTTAGAGTGGTGCTGGCAGTCGGCCATGAGGCAAGGCCTTAGATGCTAAAGACTAAAGGCTAGTACATTAATGACTTGGGTGAATATAATAAGCTGATATTGAATAACAGTGGGGGCATACTTTTGCAAAGTGAATGCGAATGGGAGCCGGCTTTTAGAAATTCCAAACACGCGCGTTTGGTGCGTTCAGGTACACACTTAGAGCGTTAGAAAAATCCAGGCGGCGAACTGGTCTGCTGAGACATAAAGACCAGCAGGATAAAATCATACAAGTAGACCCGTATGGGATTGGTTAGGGGGTTCGCATGAGGTGTGACGATGCGCATGTTGTCCACTAGGTTTCCCACAATAATTACGGCGTCTTTAGAGAAGACTCTTCTCTTCATTTCCCCTCTCTGTGCATAAAGTCCTTCACAATTAGGTATTGCAGGATTTAATAGATTGGGGGGGGGGAGCTTGCTCTACGGGATTGGCTTACGCGATAATCCAGCGGCGACTGGTTAAGGTTATGGTTAAAGGTAATCCAGCGGCGACTGGTTAAGGTTATGGTTAAAGGTAATCCAGCGGCGACTGGTAAAGTTATAATCCAGCGGCGACTGGTGGAGGTTATAGTAAAGGAGAAATCCAGCGGCGACTGGTAAGATCTGCTTAACATTTTCCACCCTCTAGAAATCCTATGAATTAGGTATATAGGTTGTCTAGAAGGGGGTGGGTGGCGGATATGCGCTTTAGTGTAAATGATAGTGTATATACATCTGCATGTGGTGTGAGTGTGAGTGAGTGTTAGTACGTGGTGCGTGAGTGTTTGAGTTGCGGGGTGCATGTGCTTGATTGATGTATGGATGTTCCAAATTATGTTTTAATACGTGTATGTGATTGTTTAACAGTGTATATATATGTATAGAATCCGAACTGGAGACTGATCATCTCCGGCGTCGGGTTGTAAAACCGTAGCATATTAAGGTGTTGGTGAGTAGTCCAACCCGGACCACGTGAGGCTGCCTTGCTAGCGGCTAACGGGGTCTCATTGGTAATTCCACTGGGGAAATAGCGGGGCTTGCGGGTGCTGATAGCTTGACCACGTTGTGGGTTAGCAGTTAGCTTGAGCCCATTGTTCTTTGCTACGCCGGCACACGGCGTTTTACGATCCATGACCGGAAGCGTCGAGGCACTTCCTCTTTGGTAGTTCTGTGTTCGATCTTCAGCTATCGGCTGAACAGCGCCTCATGTGGTTGGAGTAAGTGCACATCGTGAGGGGAAAGCCCCTGAGTGTGCCATGTGGTGGGTGTAAGAGGGAATTACAAGAGGGGGAGTTCAATTTCTTCACTTGCCGTGTTCGGACGTTGACTTTGATGCACATTTGCCTTTGCTTATTAGGAAAGAGTTAAGGTCGATAAGATAACTTGACGGATATCTGGATTGGTGTTGACGTTTAATTGAAATAGTAAAGTGCTGTATTGTTACGTTGAATATGGTTTGTAATAGTCCTGCATTTGTTTTGGATTGAAATTGGAGGTTGACTTAATTTTGATGTGGTGCTTTTGAGAAGCTGTTATGAATTGTTTGATTTCGATCTCCAATGTTTAGCTGAAACCAGATTGACTGTCATTGCATTGTCTCTGGGTTGGGGGTGGATCATTGTTTATATTGTGGTATAATCTCTGGCGACATTTGTGGGGGAGTGCTTCTGCTATACTTCCTGATTAATATTGCCGGCAGTTTGACTGTATCATCATAACTTTGAATAATTTTGTAACCTTGATTAATAATTTGGAGTAATTCATTTTTAGACATCAAGATTAACTTTATTGAAGTTTAATTTTTAGACTTTTGAATTTGAATGAAGATTGAGTTTTGATTTGAGATATAGTTAATTCTTTCTCTTTTTCCTCTATTTAATTGTAATCATAGTCTTTGGCATTGATCATTGATTATACTAATTTTTACAGTTCCGTGATTGATTTGATTTTGAGGTTAGAGGTACTGATAAGTTGATTTAACCTAGTGGTCTAACAAGATAGTTTTAGTAATTACACAGCAGTTATTGAACTGATTTGATGTTGTAAATTGTCCTCCTTACTTTTTAGATTTGGTTATTTGTTTTACTGTATCGATTCTGGTCGATGGTTCGATTTGACATTTCCTCGGACAGCTGTTGGAAGTGACTTGGTTTGGGTTTTTCTTACAGTTAGTGACAGAGTACCACCTAGGACAGAAGGGACAGCATAGCGGTTGTTTAGAGTATTCCAGGTTGCATGATGGCTGCGCTTACGACTCAGGAACTGCTTGTCAGGGCCAGAGAGGAGGAAGCAGATAGCTGTGAACATGGCCGTAAAACACCAAGTGAATACCAGGAGGCCGCAGAGGAGCTGTATATTACTTCAGGACTCCTGACTATCAGAATACACGTGCAGAGGACCCATCCAAACAACGACAAAGAAGAAGAGGTTGCTGATGGAGGATGTCATCACAATAGACATTGTATCCTGGTGAAGAAGACTCCAGACCGCTATGCAGACTACATTCTCCCGGTAAGAAATGAGCCACCTGCAGCCTCCCCTGTCCCACAGTGCCCACTACTGAGAAAAGCCAACGGTCAGAGCGAGTTTGTGCCCTGGAGCCATCGGGACATGGAAGCGCTGGAGAAGGCACTGCCGCCATTGGGAGAAGGAGCTAACCCATGGATCCGGCTCTTTGAAAAATACACAATAGGTGATAAGTTGGCACTTGGAGATATGAGGGCCTTAATAGCCCGTCTAGAGGGAACGGTCAACCTAAGAGCCTTAGAAGCAAGAGCGGGAACCACCAACCAAGAGGATGAGGCTCCATTTGATAAGGTCAGAGGAGTATTTTGGGCCACAATGCGAAACATCTGGCCTGCAAAGCCAAGCATGTCCATCCTGATGGGTCTGAGTATGAAACAAGGTGAAGACATGTCTCAATATCTGAGGAGAGCAGAAACAGAATGGCATTTGGCCACAGGAGAAAGACACGACAATAACAAATCTTCTGCAGTAATCTGGCGACACACTGTGCAGCAAGGCTTGCCCCAGGCTGTTCAAACAGCGTTGGAGGGAGTAGTGGGACTGGACGACATGGATGAAGGCACATGGAGAGACCATCTAACCCACTTCTACAAAATACAGAGAGCTGCGGAGACAAGGAGGCAAGAAGAACTGGGGACGATGACGCATCGACTCCTGAAGATCCAACTGGCAGCAGCAGATGCAGAAGCAACGAAAAAACAGAGAGTCAGGAAACAACTGTCGGTGAGAGATGAACAACCTCAATACCCTGTTCCTCCAGAAGCCACATATCCAACCGTAGGTCCAGCAGTGAGAAACCAATTGAGAGGATACCAGCAACCACCAAAGTACAGAGGGAGAGACAGAGGCCGTGAATCTAACCGAGGGAGTGGATACTACCAAGGAAGGTACGGGGGTGATGTGTGTTATATATGTGGGCAGGGGGGACATTGGTCAAGAACGTGTCCAGTGAAATATGAAGGGAACACACGGTCAAATGCTCCTCCAGGAAGGTTTCCCAACTCACTGCAGTCCAGGCAGAACCAGAGGTTGGGCACACCCCAGCCTCCACCTCCCCATATGTGGTGACCACAGGAACAGATGCCACTTGCTTTGATGGAGACAGAGTTCTGACGAGGCCCTAAACAACTAACTGGTGACACACCGACCCCCGCTGCTTTCCAACAGCTCAGATAAGCACCCTCAGTCTCTACGGTTTACGACTCACATTCCAGGAAGAGGAGACTAGAGATTATACACTGCTGAGAGTGTCAGCTGAAACTAGACTTAAACCCGTAGGGAAGATTGATTAAAAAAAGGAAATCAGTCATTGAAATTAAGATACAAGGTTGTGTAAGATTTAAAGGAGGAATGAAGGTGATAAGGAATTAGGAGAGTTGTTGTATATATTGTCGATTTTTTGGATTAATGTTTGTAGTTTTTCGAGTTTTCTCCTGAATTCAGAGATGGGCGGTAAATTGTTGAGTGCTGTTATTGAGTGTATAGTGCACGATACACTTGATACAGTATCTTGATGATTGAAGCAAATGTCTGATCAAAGGAATATTTATAGCACCAGTACACGAAATATGGAAATTTGTTACAGACGGTCATCCTGTAATGTTCAAGAAGTAGTACACCCTTACATTTGGATACGCTAACCATGAGAGGTTGGTGATCTATCATTAATGAATGAATGGATTGGATCAAACTAAGCATGAGCTGAGTTTGTGTTTGCAGGTAACAGACACGTCTCCCACCCTCTGCTTTGCTTTTGGGCTGAAGAGCAATAAAAGTGGAGATTAACACTGGAGGGGGGTCTGGAACAGATGGGTCTGATGCTAAGTTGATTTAGTATCTCCTGGTACTTTTTGGGATCAAGGGACTCACACTCTTCATTGTTGTTTTATGACCCTGAAGGGTTTGGAGAACCTTTGTTGATATCACCGGGGTTTGAGGTTCACATTCTGATACATTGATTGAAGTTTTAGAGACTGATACTGCAAATGCTCGACCACTTGTGAAAGTGGTCACAAAGGTCAGCAAATTGACTGTAATGATGGAGGTCTTCAGTGAGGGCATCGAATGGTTTATTTTAATGGGGAAGTAAGCAGAGAAAAGAAAAGTAGGTTGAAATGTTATGAGAGACACACGCAGGTGTTTGATAGTATGACCAAGGGTAAATGGAAGTGTAAAAATGGGAAAAACAGGTTGAAGAGCTATGCAGTAATGCATAGGTTTTCAAAGGTGATGACACATCATGACAGAGCAAACAGGCTGAAGGTAAAAGGAGAAGAAATTGACTGTGAGGGTGAGAATGTGAGGTAACATTTTTGTGTATACTTGGAATGAGCAGATTGCTTCGAGGTTAGAATGAACAAAGAGAACTTGGTTGGTCAATTAGTTGATGAAGACATGGAACAGTCATACACCATGAGGGTGAGACCTACAAGCAAGAACTCAAAGGGATCATTGAACGGGGACACGAAGGCAGGATTGGTGTTAATTTTTCATGAGTTGACTATGGGGGTCAATAATCAGTTATGTCGAAGATTCCAAATTTCTATAAATAAATGGCTCCTCAAATCGGTTGGAAACAAGGCCGTTTGAGAAAGGCAATTTTTCAAAACAGTGTGTAAATACTCTAGGAGCAGATAAAGATATGCAGAGGCATTCTTTACGTCAACGCATCACATTCTTCATTCAGCTGAGGCTCTAATCCGAAGCGACTTGCAGGAAGTGAATTTGAACAAGAGGGAACAGAACCAGAACAGCAAGAACAAAGAAGGGATTTCTCCTTCTAAGAAAGCAACATTCGTGAGTGTCATCCAGGTACTAATTCTTCAGTTGTAGTAGTAGGTAGGTATGTGTGTTTATTATGTTCATTAGGGAACTCCTTCCACCATCAGGTGAACATCAGGAGTCAGGACAAATGATGACTTTGTTGGGAGTTTAGCTCCCAATAAAAGAAACAACAGGCAGATGCTGAGATGGGAGTGAATTAGGGACGAGGATAGATTTCAAAGGGGATGCAGAGGTTGAAAGGGGATGGCGACTCATGGTCGAGGAGGGAGTGAGCAGACCTCCCTAAAACAACAACTGATAAGAGGAGGAATCCTGGGGAAGTGTCGGAGCCATAAAATCCATCCACAGGTTGTATTTCATCTCAGAGTCACCCAACAGGTTTAAGAATCACACACGGTTGGTATGGGGGGTATTATTTCACTATGATAAATTTACTGACACATTTTTCCTCGAATACATGTGCATGGCAATTGATAACTATGTTTTGCTTTTCAGTAGGAACAGGCGACTCCAATGCGAGACGGTCCAGATCGGCAACGACACCCAGTAGAAACGGCGTTGTGGGGGTTTTACGACGTTGTTGGATAAGCCAGGAGGTGGCCGGGGGTGATTAGCATCACCAAAGGCTATGTGAAGGGATGCTTTTACACCTACCTCAACATGAGGGACTGGGGGAGAACAGAATACAACTAGAGTATCTGCCGATTTGGGAACATTATTGCATGCAGAGAAAAACACAATCATAAGATTCCAACCAACAGAGATGTGTAGATGACATTGATTTAAGGTGTTAAGAAGAACATACCGTCTTTCTATCAATGAAACAACTCACAAATTGATTAGAATGTTTTTAGGAAAACACTAGATGTTAGAGTTTAGCTACTCAAGTGGCAATTTTGGGATAACAGCAGACGATGGCCAACGCAGGAAGATTCAACATGACTTTTCTTCCTGGAACGAATGTGTAATGACATTGCTCTTCTCATACACAGACACAAGGACTGATGTGACACACAGATGATACAATTACTCCACATTAAAAGAAAACGCTAAAACTAGGAAATAAGTGGGTAAAAGGTTGAGTTCCAGTTATGTTTAAATATGCACACACTAGATGGTAGAACTTGTTTGCTTGAAGAGTTTGGTAAACCAGAAGAAAGAGCAACATGAATTGGGAGAACACACACACACACACACACACACACACACTCACACGCACATCTAGACACACCTACACACACGCACACACATAGCTGCACCACTTGTGCTTCTCTATTCAACAGCCGATTGGGGAATCTTGTCCTAATGGGACCTCCGGTTAGCAGAGCAGTCTGCTCACAGGAACTGAGGTGATCCGAGGTCCAAGGAGGGAGCGTGAAGCTTAATCACACGTCTAGGATGACAGCTACGTGTCATCTGACCAAACCGCTGACAACAACAGATGTTCCAACAGAGGAACATCAAGGAGGAGAAGTATAGGCACACACATACAACGAAGGAATCCACAAACACTGAGCTAATGTGACACACAATTTCCAGATTAGAGAAGGAACGGGAACTGCTGGGACACTTGATAAACACATATGATAAGAATGTTCAGGATGCAAACATACGCCAACGATATTACAGTAACAGAATTTGAGGATTTTGAATTCAGAGCGGCTATTCGGTTGCAATGACCAATCATTACCAAGATAAAACTAAGTAGCATTAGACACATTCACGGGGAACATTTGGACAGAAGGAGGAGAGAGAAGTCCACCATTTCATAGAATTGTGCCTATCGGTTGAAAGGCATATATCATAGTAAGAATTGAAAATAAGAATTGTTTTTAGGAGGCTGGGAGTTCTTGTATGTGTTGTTTCTATTTCACTCCAAACAGAGCTGAGATCATTATTCAATGCAGGTGGATCCACACGACAACAAGTGGAGAGATGGTGTCCATTTATGGAGGGAGAGTAAACTATGAAGGGCAGGGTCTCAACAATTGACCCACTGGTTATGTTCTCCTCCTCAACATGTGTTTTCAACTTGAAGCATCACTGTGGCACCGCCACATATAGAGCAGTTATTCTGTTTGTTGATGTCATCCCTCCAGAAACAAACAGGAATGTGAGCATCACTTGAAAGACACATCCAGAGCTGCCCCTGGGGGGGGGGTAAAATATATGTCCTATAGTGTTTTTCCTTTAGTTTCAGATACCTTGTCCCTATATAATGTGTTGATACGTGTTGAACTTTAAGCGACGGAGACCAGATTCACTAAGAGATCCAGGGGGACAGTGGACTATACGTGTTGAAAGGAGGGACATACGATATTGAAAGCCCACAAGGGGTGTTTAAGATTGTTGTTAAACCCTCTGCTAACAAACAGGAATCCACTGCTGATCAGGTTGGAGCTGAAGCTGACACTTCTTGGAAGGGTGTGGTAAGACGGGAAACTGGATTCTCGGAGTCTAATCTATGGCTCCAATGGGTACAGTATACTGCCACAAACATGCACAGTACAGATTGTATAGTGTGTTCTCAACCTAGGCCTATGCCCACTCCTGTACGTTCCAGAATCAGACCAATAAGTCCTATATTCAAATGTATACTGGAGCTCTTTGTCCTGCAGACTCAGCCTGTCCACCATACTTGTCTAGAGTTCCAATGGGATTATCCGCCAGCTACCTTGAGCACGCCACCTCCATTTATGGTTCCAGATGGTACATTTGATTGCATAGTATCAGAGATAACGGGAAGGATAAAAGTAGGTGACATTGCAGGAGTAAACTGTACCACAGTTCAGTTTGCTAATGTCACTCGATATTCAAGTGTGTTGAATCAGACGATTTCCAGAGCCGACCTCTGGTGGTGGTGTGGAACTAAGGTTATTTATCCAACGCTGCCAGCTAATTGGACGGGTACTTGTGCATTAGTGCAGCTTATCATGCCATTCTATGTCTTTCCAGTAAAGGAGACCACATTTCAAGACTTGATTACACCACATCCTCACGTCGCCAGGAGAGCGAAGAGATCCACTAGTCCTGCGGGCTCATTTGATAGTCATGTGTACTTAGATGCCATTGGGGTGCCCAGAGGGGTGCCTGATGAGTTTAAAGCCAGGAATCAAATTGCGAGCGGCATAGAATCCTTTTTCTTCTGGTGGGTGACAATCAATAAAAATGTAGACTGGATTAATTACATATACTACAACCAGCAGCGATTCATAAATTTCACCTGGGATGCCATAACAGGGCTCCACGAGCAGTTGGATAAGACTAGTTTGATGGCATGGCAAAATAGAATGGCACTGGACATGATCTTGGCAGAGGAGGGAGGAGTCTGTAGAATGTTTGGATCTGCCTGTTGTACTTTCATTCCCAATAATACAGCGCCTGACGGATCGGTGTCCAAAGCACTGGCTGGATTGACAGCTCTGAGCCAGGAGCTGGGAGAGAATTCAGGGATTGCAGATCCATTCACCACGTGGATGGATGGTATGTTTGGTAAATGGAAAAATGCAATCTTGTCCATTTTAACTACTCTTTGTGTTCTCACCATGATTCTAGTGCTCTGCGGTTGCTGCTGCATTCCCTGCATTCGAGGACTCCTGCAGAGATTGATTGACACTGCCCTTAGAGAGACTAGTATACAGGGAAATCGGTAGCGAGTAGATGATGAGGGACAAACACTGTTGACGGATGTGACTGTATGATCATTTTTCTGTCTTTGAGAGATGCTCACAGTGAACTGTGAGCAAGGAGGGAATTGTTAGGGATTTAAGCCAGAAGTGCACCCCTAGTCATAGAATTTGTAGTGCGTGTAATGATGTTTAGTGATAGAATTGTAGTTTGTGTGATGTTAGATTAGTTATTACATTAACATGTTAGATGAAGTGAATGCAATTTCAATCAAACACAATTCATAGTCATTTAAATCATATAAACACTGTACACATTTACATTCTGTCACAATGTGATGTTAAAACCTGGGGACGGATGCCAATTGCCGTTCTTTATGGATTTCTCCCAATTTTATCCCCAAAAAGGGTTTTTTGGGAGTTTTTTCTCCGGTCAGGTAATAAAATGAACAACTTAATGTAAGGCAGCCGACTGAGGCAAATGTCTTGAAAATTGAACCACACGAACTGTTTTAGATCTTATGATGAAGTGTGATGAGCGGTGATCATTAATGATGGGTTGTTGTAATTAAAGTGTACTAGTTATAAGATGAAGACTTAAACGATGTATGCTTTGTTAAATTCACTCATTGAGGCATAAAGCCAACTGTATCTACATTGAGTGCATTGGAGTGTGAGGGACAGCTAGTACAGTGAGGTTTCAGGTTACAGCTGCAGCATCACACCTCGACGTGAAGGGGACAATGGAGGAGGTGACCCTTTGGAGAAGAGGCCAATGACATTCAAATGCACCAAAGAAGACACACCTCAAGAGTTTTCAAAGGACCATGGCGGGGAAAAGACTGTTAGAACTTCTCCTGCAGCCGCGTTGATAAGTCACTTCAGACTTGCTCAGAGGATTCTCTATTTCGCGAAATATTCCACTGTTCGCTTAGTATTTCACTTTGTAATTGTAATCCCTATTACGTTGTTCAGTTATTAAATAACTTTTGATTTCTGAATTTAAACGAATTGACTCATTCGTGTCCTCGTTTCCGGCCGGGACGAGAACAAAGGATTGAGTCCTCCCTCGAGAGCTTCCGAAACCTTAACACGACCCAGATGCCTACTCTGGAAGGGGAGACCGAGTAGAACATGTATTCATCTGGAACCCCGGGGAGGACCTCTCCCCCATTACGGACGGCCAGCCGGGGATTGCGTGGACCGCCCATAGCCAGACGGGTTCCCCTGAAATCTTCACGGGGAAAAAACTCTGCTGAGTCCTTTACTGGTCACGTCATTCTGTCAGAGGTGCGTGGGGATGGAAAAAGGCAGGACTCAAATGCAGAGTTTGCGGGAAACAAAAAGGACTTTAATAGTCAAAAAGCAAAAGGCCAACGGGCAAAAACACACATTGCAACTGGGGGCAAAAAGGCAGGCAGGAACGAGAGGCAGGCAGGACGATTGACAATGATGCGAGAAGTGACAACAGACACACACTGCTTAAATACACTAGGGAGGTGCAGGTGATTGGACACAGGTGGAAACAATCATGACATGACAGACAATCACAGAGGAGGACAGGACAAGGCAGGAAGTGACATGACCCTGGGAGAACAGAGGCAAGAAACTACAAAATAAAACCAGACATTAACCCAAACCGTGACAAATACAGCATTATCTTATCATCCAGGCAGACTTTTCTTGAAAAAAAACTTGAACAAAAGTTCACTGGCAATCTATCTGCTCTGTCATGTCAAACATGATTCAAATACGGCCGATGTGCAGCTAGATAAATAAAGATAAGGAGGTAGAGGTTGCCAACATTGTTTTTTGATTTAAGCATTTTAGTAAATTAAAGGTCTTTTCCCCAACAGACTATTACCGTTACAGTCACGAGGACTTGGGTTGGGTCGTTCATAAGCAATATGCTCATTCTCACAATATGGAGATCATATAAGGGTCAGTTCCTCAAATGAACAAAAACAATTGAATAATCTCCCCGTTACGTGCAGTTGTAGTTTCATCAGACATACCACCTGCATCGCTCAATTCTACAAATTCTGCGATTTTTCTCAGAACGATATTTCTCTGACATTTAAATTGCATCCATTATAAAATGTTGGTTAATTAATCTGTGAGTAGATATTATTTGTGTTTACTTGTAACTGCAAAAATACCAAATCAGCCACACAATTAAATCATCCCTGCCCCTTGACATTGCACTCTGCACAGGAATGTTGATCTCACTCGAACCTGCTTTCTCATATTACCACCATCAAATTCCATCAGTTACAATAGCCAGTTAACAAGGACGGTATTTGAGTAACACCTACGTCTATCAATGTTTGCACAGCTCCTTGAATGAACAAGCGGTACATGTGTGATTTCATTTACGTTGCGCTCCCTCGGCAAACCCGCTTCCCCCGGAGTGTTTCCAGAAGCTTAATGAAGTGGTGTTTGCGGGCGAGAGTGTAAATGGGTGTATTTGCCTGCCAGCTGGAGCAGCCAGGTCAACGGGACGTTTAAGGCTATAGTCTGCAGGTCGAGCAAACCGTCCACAGCTCACCCTGTGAATCCAGTCGGTGAGCTGTGGACACGGAGCCCACTTTGATTGGTTGAAGCCATAATATGAACTTGGCTTGGGATGGAGCCCTGCTCCGCCCAGTGGCTCGGACGCTCTGGAAGAAGTCTGTCTGCATGTGTGAGCTGAAGACAGCAGCCATGCCAGGGTCTACTCTCAAAAGTGCCCATATTACAAAATGATGGTGACGTTTTTTGTCTTTTCTTCCTTCTTTCCACGACTCATTTCTTAGATCCTGTGTTTCTTCCATCATCCTGATGCCGTTTGATTTCTTGTCTATTGCTACACCTTACTTGAGCCACTGACAGTTGGTGCCTCTTCTCTTGTAGTCGTGTAGTCCATGCATGTACAACTCTTTAGTCAAATTCACACAATCTCCCTCTTTTACATTTCAACTGTCCCTCTACTCTCGTTCTCTCTCGCCTTCTGTCTCTCACTCTGTCTCTCCCCCTACTTCTTTCTTTGACTTTCCATTCTGCAGTAATGAGTGTGCTGTGGCTGCAGGCCTGTCCGTGCTCCGTGTTAATCCTTCCTTTCAGCTGGAGGGCCATTTAGAGCACAAGCACCCAAAGCCTGTTCCACAATTTAATTAAACATTCTTGGTGTCCCTGTGTTACCTTGCACTCGCTCTCCTTCGCCCTTTCAGACACGCACACGCCCACATACAAATACAGACGCCTCCACCTAAAAAAGGAAAAATTTCCAGATGATGCGCACAGGCACAGGGTCTTTTCCAATGTCAGTGTGTACTTTTACCCCCAGGGTCCAACTAGTGGAATTAAAGCCCATTAGATTTCCGTTGTCACTTGGCAGTGGTTGTGCTTACCTGTCTTTGTGGTGGAGGAATTTAATCATCTTAATGAAACTGTATAATATGACCGAAAGCAGCAGCCGTTCGTGATGCAGTTTGGGTTGTTCAAATATGTGCGATTCATTGCGTTACTTGCTCCCCAGTGAGCACAAGACGTAATTTCAACGTTGAAATATGGTTGAAATCGGGTTGAAATGAGGTCTGAACGTCTAAGACCTCATTTCAACGTCTTTTCAACTGGCTAAAAATGGGCTGAAACATCAACGTGCCAGAAAATGTCAATTTGTTGATAAATGTGTCATGTTGTAACGTAAGGTCGAAAGAGAGACGATATTAACGTCAAGATTTTCATAATAATTAATGAACTGGTCGGCAAAATTTGGTCTACGCGAAGACGTGATTTCAACGTATTTAATATTTCACTTAAAACTTCATAAATATGAAACTACGGACTGCGTGCTGTTAATAAGATGCGTATAAGACATAATAATGCGGGCAGGTTCAAACATTACTTGTAAACACGTAACTCCGCTCACATCTGTAACGCGCATGCGCGAGTTCTTAGACGCCTGCAGAGCTCCGAGCGGACGCAGCACGAGGCGAAGTTACGGCAGCAGAGCGACATGAACGGGCTGATAGAACCACGACTACCGGCTCCACTGCTCTGTAAGTACGGGAGTGTTTGGATGAAGCACACATGGAACTATAACCGGGTGTTTTACTTGTGCTGCCCACCCGAAACAGGAAAGACGGCCCTTTTTGTTAAGCTAGTTAGCGTTAGCGCAGGTAGTTTGCTAGTTAGCATGATAGCTTGGAGCATGCTAGCGTGCAGCATGATGACCTGGACCAAAAGTAAACATCCCAGAATATTTTCTGTGTCTTTGGTGTTGCTAATGCGTTAGATTGTTGCTGTACCCATAAATGTTATTGCATTTCACACTGAAGATACGTTTTTAAAGCAATGGGGGCTAAATACAGATTGCAAGGGTGAAGGGCTGAATTCAACAAGTTGTGCTCTGTAAACAAGAGGCCGAAACATTGTAAGTTACTGCTGCTTAAAACATGATACTGTGTAATATACCTGGAAATGTTACTCCAGAAATACCATAAGTTGCAGATGAATTGTTATCTTGTTTATAATGTAATAAGTAAACCATCTATAAATTAGGGTTCTAACACACCTGCTCCTGTTATTATTACTAGTTTCCTACTGTCATCATAAACCCAAATGACCAACTTTGCCTTTGTGCTTTCCCTCCTCACAGGTTTCTGCGGGTGGTGGTTGCATCTGATGGAGGTTACGTCTGATGATGGTTGTCCCTGCACTGGTCCTGCCTTACCCCTGGCTTAGTAATCCACAATATTAGAATCATTTATGTTGTAGGAATCGGATGTACTGTACATCTTTTAAGTTGTTCACACCTTCTTCCCTACTGTTTTCCCCTCAGGTTTCTCCAGGTTGAAGGTTTTTTACATTTTGGGGTTTAGGGGATAGGGTGTTGCATGTTTACAGATTGCAAAGCTGAATAAAATAAAATGATTTGAATTGAATAAACACGTTGACCAGAGGAATCTGCTCCGTGCACTCTGACTCCCTTTACACAAAGAATCCTCAAGTGAGGATGAGGGAGATGCAGCTGATTTCAGGTATACTATCCCAACTCAAGTGAGCCACATCTTGTTACAGAATCTATAATGAAGTT